ATACCTGCCTGTCTCCCTGCGCCCACTCTGGCACCCCCACCACCCGCTCTGCACATGCGGGTATGGGAATCTCAGAATGCCCCATGCCCTTTGCCCCCACTGTCCTCCCTAAGCACCCTCCCTGATCCTCCCACCTTGCCGCCGCCCCTCCAGAGCCTTTCCTCAGGCCCAGGCCCTGTGCTGGGGGCGCTGGGAATGCCTAGTGTCCCAGAACTGCAAGTGCCTTCCAGCCTGAACCGCCAGATGGTAGGCATTCCTGAGAGCTGGGCATGGAGGGTAAACTGAGGCAGCCAGTGTTTGGGCATATGTGGGTGAGGGGTTGACTCGAGTTTTGAAACTTCGATCTTATGCCTCCTTTTATTGAAAACACGTTTTTGTTGATTTTGAAAGAGAGAGGGGCGAGGAGAGAGAAAGAGAGAGAGAGAGAGAGAGAGAGAGAGAGAGAGAGAGAGAGAGAGAGAGACATCGAGGTGAGAGAAACATTGATCATGGACGGTTTGCCTCTGGTATGCACCCCGGCCAGGGATCGAACCCACAACCTGGGCATGTGCCCTGACCTAGAATCAAACCGGCGACCTTTCGGTGCACAGGACGGTGCTCAACTAACTCAGCCACACCTGCCAGGGCCCATGCCTTCTTTTGGGGTTGGGGGGAGTGAGTGAGGGGCGCCAGGGAGAGGACCTCAGAGGGGAGCCCGACGCATTCTCCTGGTCCTAATGGTGCCCGCTCACCGGAGGACCATGAGCAAGCTGCCTCTGGGCTTCCGCTGCTCCAACTGGGAATGGGCTTGCCCAGTGGTTCCTGTTCTAGGCTGCGTATCAGAATCACGTAAGGACTTTTGAAAATATATTCCTGAGTTGCAACCCCAGGATTCAGAGCTCTGGGGTGGAGTCTGGGGATCACATTTATTTTTTCAAAGTCCGCCAGGGATTCTGACGCTCACCAGTTTTGGGAAACCCACGAAAGGTATCTAGAGCCTTCCCAGTTCCAATCCTAAATCCTAGGCCAGTGGTCGGCAAACTCATTAGTCCACAGAGCCAAATATCAACAGGACAATAATTGACATTTCTTTGGAGAGTCAACTTGTTTAAACTTCAAGTTCTTCTAACGTCACTTCTTCAACATAGACTCGCCCAGGCCGTGGTGTTTTGTGGAAGAGCCACACTCCAGGAGCCAAAGAGCTCACGAGCCGCGGTTTGCCGACCACCATCCTAGGGTCTCTGAGGGTGCCCCGAGCTCCAGATCCAAGAGAGCCAGCTCCGCTCATTGCTCTGGCAACTGGCTCAGTCCTCGCACTAGCCACGAAAATGCATCAGGTGCAACTCTTTCCGCCAAAGGAGAGCCAGGTCCCAAGCCCCCCCATACCTGGCACCTGAAAGGATGTTCTAGGCCTGAGAAATGGGGTAGGTTTCCCCCTAAACCTCTATGAGCAAGCCTACCCCTGGGAACTGCCTTCGGACTCTCTCAAAGCTAAGGTGACCAGACGTCCCGCTTTTGGCGGGACAGTCCCGATTTTTGAAAATCGGGACTGTCCCGCCAAAAGCGGGACGTCTGGTCACCTTACTCAAAGCCCTCTTTGGCATAGCACTGGGGAGGCCACAGGTTTTACCAATCTGGAAAATGGGAATAAACAACGGCCCCACCCCCTACCAGGAACCGGGAGAACTAAAAGAGAAAGCACTTCCAAGCAATTCAAGACGCTTCACATGCACCAGTGGTTGGCAAAGCGTGGCTCGCGAGCCGCACGCGGCTCTTTGGCCCCTGGAGTGTGGCTCTTCCACAAAATACCACGTGCGATTGAAACTTCGTGGCCCATGCGCCGAAGCGGGTTTTCGGCCTGAGTCTATTTTGAAGAAGTGGTGTTAGGACACTCAAGGGGCCAAAGAGCCGCGTGCGGTTCGCGAGCCGAGCTTTGCCGACCGCTGACATGGATGATACCGATATTTTTTTTCAAACCCCTCTGCCCAGAATGGGCCACTGGGTCCTAAGGATGGCGATTCTGTGAAGGCCTCAGCCTTCTGGGAGAGGAAGCTGGCAGGCACACAGAAGTCTTAGCATGTGGACGAAAATGTTTCAACGCTTTAAATGAAGCTCAGGACTCTCCCCCACTTTTCACACATACACGCACGGAAATCACCAACCCTGTCCTCTCTGAGCCAATTATAGGCGAGGACTGTGAGAGAGAAGCAAGTCACTTGTGCCTACCCCTGAGCCGCTCACGCCTCATGCTGCTGTGAATCACATGGCCCTGCCGGGGCCTGAGTAATTCCTCCGCTCCCTCTTCAGGTTTTCCTCTTGTTTAAAACAAAATAGTTCATTCTGCAGGCCCTGCGGCCAGTATCTCTACATGAAAAAACCAAGGCTCAGACAAAGGAAGTCACTCACCCAGGTCAGTTATGGCTGGCTGGCCGGGAAGCCGGGTCCTTCCCCGACCCCTTCTGAACCCCAGTCCTCAGCTCGGGGTTCAAAAAAAGACACCCACCAATGACAGAGGCAGGGACTTCACTGGGAAAGGGATCCTGGAAACGTTTGGGGGGAGGAGGGGAGCAGTGCAGGGTGTGTGTCGTGAGATTTGGAAGGACTGGCGGAGGGGGGCGGCAACTCAGAATCTCCGCTGTGCATTGATCAGAGGCCACGGACGAACCTTCTAGACGCTGCCCAGCTACTGACTTACAGACCAAGCGTGTCTGGAGGGCAGGACTACGGTTGTCCTTCTCTCAGACAATAGTTACTGAGGGTCTTCCACGCGCTCCCTTGGAATATGTTCAGTCCTTTGTTCAACGAGGATTTATTGAGCACCTACGGTGTGCCAGGAGGGATACAAATGTGAACCAAAGAGATCCGATCCCCTTGCCCTCTCGGAGCTCACATTCTAGCGGAGGGAGCCGGGCCAGACACAAGCAGACATGTACAGTGAGATCACTGCGGAACTGCGCTGAGGACAGGGACGGGAGGGCGCTGGCAGCTGCCATGGAGACTCACAGGTGGCCCTGCCTAAGTGGTCAGGGAAGGTCTCTCGGAGGAGGTGACATCTGAGCTGAGACCTGAAAGATGAGGAACAGGCCAGGTGGAAAGCAGGGGGAAGAGATGCCAGGCGGAGGAGAAAGCAGATGCAAAGGTCCTGAGGTGGGCGTGCTTGGCAAATGGGTGAGCAGCCTGCTCCACCCAGTATATCGCGGGAGTTTGGAAAGTGGCGGGAACCGCATGGAGGGGAGGGGGGTAAAGGCCATTGTCAGCTGGGTGACTTTTTTTTTAAAAAAATATATTTTATTGATTTTTTACAAAGAGGAAGGGAGAGAGATAGAGAGTTAGAAACTCGATGAGAGAGAATCATCGATCAGCTGCCTCTTGCACGCCCCCTACTGGGGATGTGCCCCCAACCAAGGTACATGCCCTTGACCGGAATCGAACCTGGGACCCTTGAGTCCGCAGGCCGACGCTCTATCCACTGAGCCACACCGGTTTTGACAGCTGGGTGACTCTTGCCCACACCCAGGGAGCCCCTGCGAACATACCAGAGGTTCCATGACTAGCCCAAGGTCATAACAGTAGCGAGGGATCCACCTTGCCTGGGTTTTTTGTTTTGTTTTGTTTTGCTTTAAATCCTCACCTGAGGATATTTTCCCACTGATTTTAGAGAGAGTGGAGAGAGAGGGGAAGACAGGGAGAAACATCGATGTGAGAGAAACACATGGATCGGTTGCCTCCTGCATGCGCCCCGAAGGGCCCAGGCTGGGGAGGACCCTGCAACCGAGGTGTGTGCCCTTGACCGTCATTGAACCTGGGACCCTTTGACCACAGATTGATGCTCTACGCACTGAACCACACCGGCTAGGGCTCTTGCCTGGGTTTGGATGCTCCGCTATTGCTACCTGGTTCTGGGTCGCAATCCCGGAGACCTGTGGAGCCTGGCAGCTCAGGTTCCCACGGGGATGTCCCCAGATGGCGAGGGAGACACTGAGTGCCAGGCAGTGCCAAGGCTTCCCCTGGCACTGGCTGTGACCTGACCAAGAGCTTCTCCCCCGCCGAAAACCCAAGTTCAAGCATCCCGCTTTCTCCTCACCAACAACCTTGCAGCCTGCAGCTCCCCAGCTGGGTGCCACGGGCTTATGCCTGCCCTTACCTGTCTGCCGTCTCCCTGCCCACCGGCCCCTGCAGCCCTCCCCTCCGGCTTGACCTCCAGGCTCACCTCGGCCACCTTTCTCTCTCATCAGCACCTTCCCTTCCCTCCTTCCCTTGTCCTCCCGCCACAAACACCTGGCAGAACCCCAACCTTGGATCCATCCGCCATCCTTTCTTTTTCTTTTTTTTTTCTTTTTCCACTCATACTCCAGAGCTGCTAAGAGCGCAGGAGAAAATCACATAAGCAGAAGGCTTGGCATTGCTTCCATGGTCTCCAACCCCGGTTTGGGGGAGGCAGAGAGCGCGCAGACTTTAAACTCAAACAGATCTGCTTTGGAAACCTGGTCCCGCACGGGCTGCGTGACCTTGGGCAAGTTACTTCAACTTCTGGAGGCCCCCCCCCCCCACCGCTGCGAAATGGGGGTAACGATACCCCCCTCACAGGAGGCTCCCGAGGATGAAACGGGAACCCATGCAAGCACCCAGCCTGCTGCCTGGCACAATGTAGGCGCTTGGCAAATGGGAGACTCCTTTTCTCCTGTTCCCCCAGCCCCGCTGCCCCAACCAACCCCCTCTTGCCGCCCTGCCCTCCTGCCCCTTTTTCCTGGAGTGCTCCCTCTCCCATCACCCTCATCAGATGGAACAGGAGGGGGGTCAGAGTGGTTGAGGGGGCCCAGGGGCCAGAGAAAAGGCTGGAGACGGGGGTGGAAAGGGCTGGATGGAGGCCTAGGAAGGGAGGGAAGGGGTTGGAGATTGAGAAGACTCCAAGGGTTTGGGGTGAGCGGGCCGGCCCCGAGGTGGAGCTGGGAGAGCCCGAGAGCCAGAACCCCCTCCCGGCGCCAGGCCCGCGGCCGGCTCCCCTGCCCCCGATCACTCACCAGGCCGGGGCTGCGAGCCCTCCAGGTGGTAGGAGAAGCGCAGGGCCCGGTGGTGCTGCGGGCTGGGGCCGCAGGGCAGGACCCGGGGGCCCGGAGGGGCGCCCAGGCCAGCGTCCGAGGGTCCGGCACACGGGGGCTCCGGGGCTCCGCCGAGCGCCGGCGGTCCGGGCTCCGAGGCGCCGGGGTCCGAGTCGGCGCAGGCCGGCGGCGCGGCGCCGGGGGGGTTCGCGGCCGGGTGCTCGGGCTCCGGAGGCCCGGCGCCCCCCGGGGCTCGGTGGCCGTGCATGGCCCGGGCCTGGGCGCGGGGCCCGGGCTCCCCGCTTGGCGCCGGCTCCTGGGGTGGAGGCGCGGGCGGCGGAGGCCCGGCGCCCGGCAGAGCAGCGGCTTCGGGCTCGGGGGCGGGGCTGCGGGCTCAGCCCCACTGCGGAGCCCCGAGTCCCCAGCCCGGGCCCGGGCCGGCGGCCGTGGCAGCGGCGGCGGGACCGGCAGCAGCCGCGGCCACCGCCGCTGCCGTGCCTGGCATCGCCGGCCCGGGCCCCGCGCGGGGAGTGGGCTCGGCGGGGCCGGGGGCCCGCGGGGGAGCGCTGTCTATGCGGCGGCGGCCGGCCGAGGGTCCGGGCTCCCCCGCAGGCGGCGAGCCGCTTCCGAGGCCCCGGGGCGAGGCGGGCTGCGGGGAGAGCGGGGTCTCTCCTTTCTCCCCGGAATGGGAATCGATCTGGGCTCCCCTGGCTGCTCGGCGAGGGTTCTTCCTCCCGCCGCAGCGGAGGCCGGGGGGCGGAGGGGCGGGGAGGGGAGGGGAGGAGGGGGAGGCGGGCGGCGGAGGCGGGGGGCGCGCGTGTCCGCCTCGCGCTCGGGCTGCGGGGCTCGCCCTCGGCCGATCGGTCCGGAGGATGCTCCCGCCGCGGGGGCAGGGGAGCGGCCAGGGCCTGGCTCCGCCGTCCTCCCCGGCCTCGGCCTGGGTCTCCGCGGCGGCGGGCGGGAAGGAGCCCGGGGAAGGGGGGTGGGGAGGCGGGAGCGGCGGCGGAGGCAGCCGCAGGCACAGCGGCGCTGGGACCCAGTTCCCGGGCCCCGCCCCCTCGCCGGGATTGGCTCCTGGCCACGCCCCCTCACCGGGGCCGCCTCACTTCTCGCAGCGCCCGCCCCCAAATCCCTCCCCCCCCCCCCGAAAATTCCCCCTCTGCCTGCCTTCCCCATCCGCTCCTGGTCCCACACAGGCAAGGCTCCTGGCTCAACCTCCCCCCCCCCCCATCTGCCTTTCTGTCCCATCTCGGGTCTTCCTCCCTCCGCTTGTCCTTCAATGTCTTTTCCAGAAGCTTGGACACATGTTCCAGAGTTTCCCTATGGCTCGGCTCAGAGAGGGCTTGTCTCGGATACTCTTCACTCGGCTGGGAGGACCGGACCTCATGGTCGTTTACTTGGCCCTTCTCTTGCCAGCAGCCTCAGTTCCCAGGATTGTCGCATACGCCTGGCAAGATCCCAGCCTTGGGCCAGTCCAACTATCCGCCTTTTCCACGCCTGTGCCCAGGCGGCTAAACACTTAGAGAGCAAAGCATCCAGCCTCATAAATGTGTGTTACTATAAACTCTTGGTCCCTAGCTTCCACTAGGCCCTCAAAGCTGACCTACAACTCTATGTCCCCAGGCAACTCCCCCCCCCCCCTCATACAGCAGCTATTTCACACTTCACACCTCCCCACACACCCAACTTCACCAGCCCCCGACCCTCAGCAGATGTCCCCCCTCCTGCTTCACAGAGTCACCAAGAAGGAAGTTTTGGACTTTTCGCCACCAAACCTACCGAGTCTGCCCCTTGCCCCTTCCCATCAGCATCTAAACATACCCAGGTCTCTTCCATCTCTAAACAGATCAATTACCACAAAGTCTTCTTCCTCTCGGACAACCTCCCTCTCTTCATAAACTTCACAAGAGTCGCCTACACGTAACTGTCTTAATTTTCCCACTTCCCACTTATCTTTCAACCCACTCCAATCTGTCTCCACGACTTGCGTGATACTGCTCTCTCATCAAGGTCTGTGTGGCCTGAATAACGAAACCCAACAGAATCTTTTTAAAAATATATATCTTTATTCATGTCAAAAAGGGAGGGAGAGGGAGAGGAAGAAGGAGAAGGAGGAGAGGGAGAGGGAGAGGGAGAGAGAGAAACATCAATGATGCAAGAGAATTACTAATTGCTGATCACCTGCTTCCTGCATGCCCCACACGGGGGATGGAGCTCACAACCCGGGCATGTGCCCTGACTGGGAATCGAACCATGACCTCCTGGTTCATAGGTCAGTGCTCAACCACTGAGCCACACTGTCTGGGTCCCAACAATCTTTTCAGAGGTCATCCTACCTGACTTTTTGGTAGCATTGGACCCTGGGGACCACTCCCTCCTCCTTAAGCCACTTCCATGACATCACATTCTAATTTTTCTCCTATTTCTTTGTAATTCCTTTTTACTTTCCAGGATCTTCTTTCTCCATCCTTGAAATGATGGTGCTCTTTAGGGCTTTGGCTTGAGCACTCTTATCTTCTTTCTCATCGGCTCCCATGGCTTCAATTACCGTCTCTTTGAAGATGATTCCCAAATTGATGCCCCAAGTCCGGATATTTCTCTTTTTAAAAAAGAGATAGTGCTCTAACCGGTTTGGCTCAGTGGATAGAGCATCGGCCTGCGGACTCAAGGGTCCCAGGTTCGATTCCGGTACAGGGCATGTACCTTGGTTGGGGGCACATCCCCAGTAGGGGGTGTGCAGGAGGCAGCTGGTCGATGTTTCTCTCTCATCGATGTTCCTAACTTTCTATCCCTCTCCCCTCCTCTTTGTAAAAAATCAATAAAATATATGTATATTTTTAAAAAGAAGTAGTATTATAGATATTTCCCATTTCCCCCCCCCCTCCTCCCAGCCCCTTACCAACTCCAGGTCTTTACCACCCCATTTAACGCTTCTTGTCCCCCCAATAATACACTGAGGTATGCCAGTCTGTCCTACACCTCCCTGCTTTGGATCTTATTTTGTTGGTGAATTCTTTTTGTTCATTAGATTCCACAAATAAGTGAGATCATGTGATATCTGTCTTAGATATTTCTCTTGACCTATGCATTCAACTGGTTACTAAACAGCTCTACCTGATACCTCAGAGACACTCCAAATCTTAGCTTCTCCCCAACTCAACACATGCTCTACCCAACCTGTTTGTCCTTCTTTGTATTTTGCCTTAGTGACTGATTCCAATCAAAGCCAAATCCTGAGCCATATCCCTGGTTCTTCTCTCTGCTCCATCTGCTGCAATCACCAAGTCCCACTTTTTTTAAAAAAATTCTCCTTGAGGATATCTTTTCCATTGATTTTCTTAGAGAGAGTGGGGAGACAGAGAGAGAAACATCGATGTGAGAGAGACACATCAATTGGTTGCCTTGAGCACGCACGTAGACCGAGACCAGAACCAGGGATGGATCCTGCAACTGAGCTATGTGTCCTTGATGGGAATGGAACCCGGGGCCCGTCAGTCCTCAGACCAACTCTCTCTGCACTGAGCCAAACTGGCTAGGGCAAGTCTCATCATTTTAACCTCCTGACTCTCTCCCAAATTGATTTCCATAGTCTCTTCATGTCTGCTGCCACTCCCCGAGGCCAGGCCAGTATCATTTCTAACCTGCAGTGCTGTCCCTGCCTTCCCATTGCATGCCTGTTCCCTGGAATCTATTCTCTACACTGTAGGCAGTTGATATTTTGAAAAGGTAAATCAAATCATATCGCTTGGATGTTGAGAACCTTTCAATGAATCCCCTTTGACTCAAAAGGGAAGTTACCTTCCACAACAGAGAAGGTTAAGCTGTGTCCTGCTGGTCTGGCCCCTACCAGGCTGTCTAGACTCCAAGCAAGCAAAAGCTAAAATTCTTAGACCGTCTTAGTCTCTCTAGCCTCTGAGTCTTTACTCAGAGTATGCTGTTGCCTCTGTATGAAACTCTCTCCACATCTCCACTTCATTTGTTCTTCAGATCTCCACTCATTAAAAAAAAAATATATATTTGTATTGATTTCAGAGAGGGAGAGGGAGAGAGATAGAAACATCAATGATGAGAGAGAATCACTGATAGGCTGCCTCCTGCACGCCCAGCATTGGGAATGGAGTCTGAAACCCAGCCATGTGCCCTGAGTGGGAATTGAACCATGACCTTCTGGTTCATAGGTTGATGCTCAACCATTGAGCATGTTGGCTGGGCACCACTCATGAATGCCTTTTGAGCACAAACTATGGGCCAGGAATCACGTGTAGCGCTAGTTACACAGTAGCGAATAAGACAGATACGAATAAGACTGTGGTCAACAGCCTTGGCCAAATGGATAGCTCATTTGGTTGGAGCATCATCACAATACAAGGTTGTGGGTTCGATCCCTGGTCAGGACACATGGCTGGGTTTCAGACTCCATGGAAGAATCAACCAATGAATGCATAAATAAGTGGGACAACAAATCTCTCTCTCTCTCTCTCTCTCTCTCTCTCTCTCTCTCTCTCTCTCTCTCTCTTTCTCGCTCCCTCCATCTCTTTCTAAAATCAATAAATAAAACAAAAATTTAAAAGGCTGTGGTGAGCCCTGGCTGGTTTGGCTCAATGGATAGAGCATCGGGGTCCCAGATTCAATTCTGGTCAGGAGCATGTGCCAGGTTGTAGGCTTGGAGATTCTCTCTCATCATTGTTGTTTCTGTCTCCCTCTCCCTCTCTGAAATCAATAAAAAATATATATTTTAAAAAAGATTGTGGTGAACAAACTTGGCCCTTGCATTTTATAGTCTGATGCTGGAGGGACCATGAAGTAAATGCACGTAGCGAATACATATAAACATGCATAATTACCAATTGTGATCCCATATAATAAAAGGGTAATATGCATATTGATCAAACATCAGAATGACCGGTCGCTATGACACGCATTGACCACCAGGGGGAAGACTCTCAATGCAGGAGCTGCCCCCAGCCTGCAGGCCCTGATTGTCCGATTGGGGCCTGCCGGCCAACCTCTCAGTCCCTTCCCCCAGCAGGCAGGCCCTGATCATCCAATGGGGAATGGGGAACCAGAGGTGGGAGGCGGAGACACCTGCAGCACCAGGCCAAGGACCCCACCCCGCTGGTTGCCCACACTCAGAGGGCAACTGGTGTTGGGGGATGGGCTGGTGAGTGGGTGGACAGCCAACCTCTCAGTCCCTTCCCGTGGCTGGCAGGCTCCAGTTGCCTGATGGCGAACTGGGAGAGGTGGTGGCAGCAGGGGGCGGGGCCAGCT